AATGTCCATCGGGGCTCTTTTCCGAAAAAGCGCGTCTACATTGGCCACAGACGCTTTTCCGGAAAAAGGGCTTTTCCAGAAAAGCAGCCTACCAATGTAGACGCTCCTTTTCCAGAAAAACTGAAAACGGAATAGTATTCCGTTTTAAGCATTTCCAGAAATTCATGCCAGTGTAGACACAGCCTTAGTGCAGAGCTGCAGCAGGGGTAGTTGCCAGACCTGGCACAAGCTCGGTGACTGGGATGGATGGTTTCTGCTGTAGAATTTGGGGGAAGCGTGACATGATTAACTCCATAGGGTTATTAATGCCAAAGGCTGATGCCCTATCCCTGAGTTCACTGGAGATCGCACCCCACCTCCCGCAGGTCCCTTATCCTCCTTTCCAAATGTGGGAACCAGCTCCATCCCTGGAGCAACCTATGTTGGCCGTCTGGCTGGACTCCGTGCTTGCAGTGCTAACCCTTATTGATTAATTGTGTAGTCAACTTCCAGAAAAACTGAAAACGGAATAGTATTCCGTTTTAAGCATTTCCAGAAATTCATGCCAGTGTAGACACAGCCTTAGTGCAGAGCTGCAGCAGGGGTAGTTGCCAGACCTGGCACAAGCTCGGTGACTGGGATGGATGGTTTCTGCTGTAGAATTTGGGGGAAGCGTGACATGATTAACTCCATAGGGTTATTAATGCCAAAGGCTGATGCCCTATCCCTGAGTTCACTGGAGATCGCACCCCACCTCCCGCAGGTCCCTTATCCTCCTTTCCAAATGTGGGAACCAGCTCCATCCCTGGAGCAACCTATGTTGGCCGTCTGGCTGGACTCCGTGCTTGCAGTGCTAACCCTTATTGATTAATTGTGTAGTCAACAAAATTTTTTGTTGACTACACAATTAATGAATTACATGCTTGTTAACATCCCTAGTGGAAATACTCCCTAGTGGCAGTATGGGGAAACTCATACTGCTTCTGTTCATGGCAGATCTAGGATTTCCACTTTTGGGATTACAGGCAGTCCCCGGGTTACGTACAAGATAGGGACTGTAGGTTTGTTCTTAAGTTGAATCTGTATGTAAGTCGGAATTGGCAT